AACGAGCCAGAAATAAAGATTTTAAAACATTTTGAAAGACAACCAGTTCATACTATAAATGTTCATCTATCGTAAACTATAACTGATGTATTCCCACAATTATACTGATTATGGCCAAATCAAGGCTATGGATATCAAATGATTTCTTTTGATTACAGAATTTAACTTTCTGGATATTTTAAAGCAATTTTACTAGTAAAAGCTTGCATGATGTGTCAGCATTTCTTAAATAAAGGGTTCTCATTCTTAACTGTGATTTGTTGTTCTGTCCTTGAAATTAAACGTTGGTTATCATTGATTTACATTAGTTTAACGAGAATATGAATATTTTTAATCATAGTTGTCAAATACATAGTTTGTTTGGTTCATATTACTAACTAATTGCAAAAAATTTTCTACAGGGACTCGAATGATTGTGGACATTTGAAGCCTTAAAATATAATGAATTCACTTTATTCTGCAACTATTCTCCTCGCTTTATTCAAGTATATATATATGACCAAATTTTTACACTTGCATATTAAACATCTATCAAATCTGACTGAATATAAAACGATTTTGCTTCTTATTGTTCAGGAAATATCTTCAAGTTCCAAACTTAAAACCTTATCCAGAATGACTTTTTTCAGGAGAGGATAAGATCGTCTACTTAGATATTAGGGATTCCTGAAGGACATTGCTCTATGACAGGTCAGTTTGTTGTTACCTATTACACCTAGAACTGACAATTCTTTTACAAGTGAGTGTGTCAAGAGTTATATTTCATCAAACTGACTGAATAAACTCATATAATTACTTATCCTAATATTGTATATAACAAATTACTTACTAATCAGCTCGAATCTTTTTTAGGCGAATTTCCATTTCAAAAAATGACAAGATATTCTGCAAAGAGCTCACTTTTCAACTACTCCATTATTGTACCATATCTCCTCTAAAAACAAAAGTTGGACCTATCTCCGATGGTTACTGATCTGACTGTAAGTCAGCTCTGTGAATTAGGTTCAATATAAAAAAGAAACTATATTCAAAGCATCTTTGTTAGCCTCATATTACTAAAACAAACTCTTGGAATAAAAACGGTTACTGTTATGCTGTATTCGTAAAAAGGTGGAATAAAATACATGTTTTGAAAGGAACACTTGTATCGTGGGCACATGACTAATTTGATGAAGTTACAAAATTACATAACTTTGTTTCATTCACTCAGTTAAGCAACGGCTTCCGGCAATTACATCATTCTACGTCTTTATGAGAAAATGAGAAATAGATATTTAGCCTGTCAGCTTTTTGACAGTAAACTGGAAAACGCAGTTATGTTATACAAATCGGTTTTAAAATATATTATTTGTTTATTTATTGCTAGAAAAATTCCATATATCTCATACAACTTTATTCACTTACATCGTTGCGAAGATTAGTGGCACTACTCTTTACGTAAATCTACAGTTTCTTATTGTGGCATTTTCTCAGTCAGTCTTATCATTATTATTTTTATCAGTTTATGCCACATTCATAAATAGTGATTCAATAAATCTAAAATCTGTGACAAAGGTCACTTTCTATAGAGATTGAAATATAATATTAATCACGAACTTGCAGATGTGAAATTTTAAAATTTAGGGAACGGTGAACAACTGTTCAATTTAGTCTGTTTATCAAATTAACTGTTGATCCAATAAGGCCAAATGTAGGAATGTAAACAATTAAATGTATTCGTCATTTCTTGTAAATAACTTATATGCATCACAGTTATTTTGACAAATGGAAAAGTTAAAAATGGCAACTTACATGTCAGACCATAACCTTTAACCTCTACAAGCATGATGACCCTAAAGTTTTTACATGATGTCATTAACAAAACTTACAAGAGCAGTGTATGTGTATGTAACACTTAATAGCTTATGATTTCGATAATTATACGTACGGGAGGATTTGTTTAAATTGTACGTTAGTTTCAAACTAGAACAAAACAGCTTCTCAATGTTTCACATATATTAGAGCACAAAAATGATCTAAGAGAATAAATAATGTCCCAGAGACAGGGAAGAAAACACCAATTCATTTGCACTGTGGTGGAAGGCTACAAATTCTTTTTGTTCTATCAAACTGCTTATTAAGCTTTTTTACTTTAGAAGCATCTTACAGTACATATGGGGTTGAAAATCCTGTAACTGTTCGAAATACTCTAATCTCATATCAGATAAGGGATACGGATAAGGTATCGATAGTTATTGTAATATTAGACGTTTTGTACTAGGGAGGTTATGTTTATGTTTTATTGTTTTCAGCCAATTTAGAACAAGGTAGAATAACATTACTCATAAGGTAACACTAGCCGTCGCTTATCATGTATTAAATATGAACCACTAATTGTGTTTAAATCGTCAGAGTTTCTGCGACGCTAATAAAAATCAAATGATGACAGTTGAGTGGCTCTAAGCTGCAACATTTGGTGGCTGATTCAGTGGTAATAATATTAATTATTTCTTTATGGGACCGATTTCCTTTGTCATTGGTTCCGTAGAATAATAGATCAATAAGGAATACCGAGTGTTGTACCGTTTATTTTTCATTATTGTCAATTTTCTGTTGACTCTTTCTGAAGTTTAGACACTTGTTTTCTCGATTTAAAGCTCGCTCACACTGCAAACACAGTTGATTAGTTCAGAATAGCTGACAGGAACCTATAATACTATACTTAAGGTTCTGTTTTCTAAATATTTAGTATTTAAAATAATCATCTAGTTTTTGCCTAACTTCAAGGATTTATGTCTTATTACAAATTTATGCATTGTACTGTATTAACAGACTAATCAGAATTCTAGCTGTCTTACTGCGGCACCGAACTGTCAGTAAAGTTATCAGCCATACCACATCAGATTTCTATCGCGAAAAAGATGTTATTTAACATTTAATATAGATACTGACTTTATGTCTTATCAATTTCGTGCGACTTTGTCTGTTCTAAGTATTTTTAATTGAATAAATAATAAGTTCTGACTATCCAAATACATCTCCAGTTTTTACCAATCTGTCTGTACACAACAGTTATGCTGACGATAGCTATCAAAGAGAAATAACTTGTTATTGCTCGTAACATAAAAATTTTCATATGCTGGTCTTTTAAAGAGTTCAATATGTTTCTGTAAAGTTCTCAATATGAGACTCAAAGGACTCTTTGATCATCAACTAAGGTTGGTCAAAACGTTTTCGAAAAGCGATTGTAATTGTATAGAAAGTTTGTTCTGTTACAATACTCAACCATGAAACACTCCTGGAACTGTGCTGTTGTTACCAAGAGCTAATAAGGTATAAATTACAACTAAACAGTTTGATATTATATCATCATTTAAAGTAGTTGTTCTAACTAAAATCTATAAGATCATTTGTAATCAAGGCTCAACAAAACTTACCTGATACTGAAGATTATCTAACACTATAAAATTTATCATCGGTTTAAGAAGACTCGAATAAGGAAGTAATTATTTATGGTATTAAAAACTAATTACATTTACTCCCGAGTATTTAGAGTTGCTCGACATGATGATATAGACTAGCTGGAACCCATCAGTTTGTGATTATGTTTATCTGTCAAAGACTGTTTTTATTACAACCATGGTCATTAACATTAAACTATTGAAACTCAGCTTGATGTTTTCTGAGTCTGCCACGTTAATATTTGCACGATATAGACGAAGGTTTATAAAACTGGATTTCTTTGATCACATATAAGTGTGGGTGCTTTTTCGTAACTCAGTAGACTACGGATCAAAAATAAAGTTTAGCGTAACATGATATACTAGAGCAGTCAAAAGATAGTGACTAAATTACTACGGATATTTCGGTTATAAAATAAAAATCATGTTAGTAACTTTAGCAGATTTAAAAGTTAATTATTTCGAGTTACTTTTATGCCCAGTCTCAATAAAGAAGAAAACAACCGTAAGAGTCGAGTAATTTTGATCGTTCTATTTACAAGATTCTTATTAGCTGCTTAGAACCTAAAAATATGAAATAATTTTACGAATCAAAACCTATTTGACTAAAAAAATACTGCAAGAGTTAGTCGCAGAAATGTTTTACATCTGAAACCAATATAAGTGAATATCTGAAGTATCATACGTTGCCGACAAAAACATCTACTAAGGGGACGATCAAATGAATACTCAAAAGTATAAGGAAAGTTTGACAAACTTTTAAAAATATCAGTTTTCTGAAAATGATTAACTTTTTACAGGATTTATTACAGTAGGTTAATTATGAAGCTATACTTTCAGAAAACTCAGTTCTGAATAAGGTTTATTTTAACTCACATAAGAAGTGTAGCTATAAGTTTGAAACTATCGGCTTACATATATTTTACAAAACAACTAAACTTATTTAGATATAGTACATGACTAAGTTACAGATTGATAATATTCACTCATTAACTGGTTACGTTTTCGTTATGAAATCTATTATCTTACAATCTGATGTATTCAGTCCATTGCGGTGATGAGTGAATAGATGAATTTGAGGTTCCATAGCGATTATTATGATCGTAGTTGTTCATATGGTTTTATTTAGTATTTAACGAATATATAGGATTATTAGTAGTTTCCAACTTACACATAACTAGCTTCCTGTTTTCATTAGTCGTGTTTTAATTGAAACTTATACACATCTTTGTAAACTCAGTGTTATTTCAAGAGTGTAACTCATAACTACTTTCATGCAGAGTGGTGTCTTATCCACAAAGAACTAATTAGCTGTTTTATTCTACTGTAGAGCTCTTTGCATACTATATCATTTATTCTTTTGTTAACGGAAATATAGCCTTCATGATCCAAAAAACACCATACTGACGTCAAGCCATTGTTAAAAAATACAACGGTTGATATCTTTATCTATCAAAGTAAGTATGTATCTATTGTTTATCAATGTTAAAATTAATTTAATAAATTACATAGTAATATTCCTTAACCATATATATGTGCGCATGTGGTTGGATTTTATAGATATGGAATCATCATGGATCCATTTTCATGGATTCGTTTTCTTTTACAAGCTCAACAGAAATGTGCGGTAATTGGGTTATTTGGTTGTAAGTTCGTTATCGTTTTCTGATCATTATTCGTCGTACACAACGCATTTACTTGTTTTCCATAAAATCGTAAAATACTTTCATGATCTCCCGTCGATCCAGCTTCATGAGTGACCTTCAGAGAAACTACTAGTCATCTATTCATAAAGATCTTTATTGGAAACTATTAGAAGATTTAATAATGTGGTTATAAATTCACATTTATTTATACTTAGGACTGAAATCACTACTCATACAATAACCCTTATTTTTAATAAACGTGGTTTGGTTAATGAAATATATTTTTCGTAGATGTTTCTAGTTGTAACGCACTTGTTATGTAAGTGGGGTTTTTCCGTTAACACAAAATAAAGCCAGTTTTGTTTGATAATCAACGGTTGCAAGGGCTGATAAGTTTTGCTCGAAGACTTCAGATCCGCTAATCAAATATCACTACCAGTATTCTCTAGAAAAATACCCCATTTCAATCAACGAACTTTGACATGAGTTGTGTATCATTCGCAGTTGGTCAAACAGATTTGCCTTTCGTGTAAAAATAATGTTAATCCAGAGCTATACAATGACTGGATTTCTCAACTTCATCTGTTACAAACTAGCTGATAACGTGAGCTTTCTTCGACTTATTTATTAAGTGATTTGGCCTCACTAATCTGTCTAGTTGATATTACTACTGATCTCTGTACAACATAAATGTCATCACTACTTGTAAGAGGACGCAAGAACAAAAAAACAATCCCGATTACTTATGAAGGTCGTAAGTCAGGTGTAATCTAAATTGCTATAATTATTGATCCATTACTGAGTTAAGGGAACGTTTTCAAGTGGTACTCAGGCTAATCTTATACCACAGTTGCACGATGACCCAATCTATAAGCAACCCTACCAGTTAGTCAATCACCAAATGTTATTTTAAATTCCAAGTTTACATACTTTTTAAACGATGTCATAATGTTTTTTACAAATTTCCACCTAGGTACTAATGTTTTTATTATATTCGCTTGGTTAGTTGAACGTGCAACTGTTCGTGGTTTAGTTGGTGGTAAATTTGCAATGGTGCTTATTGGTTGGAATTTATTTTGCCTGCTCACCTTCCCGACCATCATGATCTTATCAATGGATTTTAGTCCTTGTACGTTACATATAAATGATTTATGAATTTATAGATCTTAATGTGTTCTTCATTTGTCTTTGTGCATTCACGTTCTTTACAATTATGAACGTCGTGTTCACTAAAGACGTTTAATCGTTTTCGATATATATATTAAACGAAACGGTTAGCAAAAGACTAATTATCATGTTATGAATGTTTTAGAAAAATTAATAATAAATAGTTAAGTCTCATGTGGAATAAATTGTTTTTCAAACGTTCGCAAAAGATGATATCATCTCACTACTTGGTATGTCTGTCAAGCAGATGAGTACACAATGGCTGGCTTGTGTCTAGTCTTCTAAGCTAGCTTTAATCGATAAGGTTTGGTGTAAGACTGTGTTGGCAAAATAAAAGTGGCCAGATAAATTAATAAGCTGACTGACCTCTCAGTAGTTTGAGTCACATTAGATTACTAGCCATTGTTTTTGAAGGGATTAAATAACATGCCTAAAAATTGTTTCTTATTAATTTGTTTGTTATTTTCTGTGAGGAAGTAAGATAACTTGAACAATTGCTCAATTATACGGCTTTCTGAAATGTCATTTCTCTGTTAATCTCATATAATGTCATATGGAAAAATGAATATGGACGAATAGAAGCATGATATGAAATTTTTGACCGAGAATTGTACCCTTTAAGTGATATGATAATAAACCTTATTAATGTACATTATTAACGTATGTATGCTACTTATGTCGACGGACATAAGTAGTGTGTAACACCAATCAGAAGTGAAATGCTTGGCAGCAGAATGTTGAGAAGATCGAAGAGAAGAGAACGGGAATGTAAACAGAGAGTAATTATAATAGCAATGAAGGACGATGAAGTTTGAGACGATTGATGGAGGATTCGCCAATGAAGTATTTAATGTATGGTTTCCACATTCTATGAAGGAACTTTGTAATTTTGTATTAAACAGTAAATTGGTCGTCTAAACCTGAATTCTTGTACACTACACGTATATTTTAACTGATCAAATGAACGTATCTTCATAACTCTGTGATGCTGAAGTTTAAATTGTACAATGTATATATTGTCGAATAATATCAAATGACAAGATTGTGGTAGTCAACAAGAAACTCTGGAGCTAGGTTTCGTGCTACTTGACACTCGTCAGCAAGATGTGCCTGTAATCTCGAGGGAAATTATACTCCCTGACGGACTCGATCCCGTGTCACCTAGCTCCACAGCCAGAGACGTTGCCACTGGGCTATCCAGGCCGCGGCTGAGCCCCCTGTGGGACTAAGTTGTATTTACAATTGGTTGATCACTGAGTGGTGATCAATTTCATGTGTGTCAGGTCCTCCTTAGTGCAGATCGAATCCTATTGACCACGTTGTAATATGGCCATCAATTTAGGTGACCCTACCTAACATGCATAACATTGATCACCACTCAGTGACCAATCAACTGGAAATATCAAATGATATTAATCATTGTCTTGCCTTCGGAATATGTAGTTTAGAAATCGTTCTAAGTGACTAGGTAGTTTTCTCAATTTATTGATTGTGATAAACGATAATCTACTTTTAACTATAGACACTACTGGTTTAAAACCTATATGTCTAGGTCGGTCCACCGCGAGCAGTACATTTTTATTAGCACATACTGCCACCAACTATTGAATAAGGACTGATATTTTTACTTTCTGAACTACAAAAGCGACTGCTATAATTTGTATATTATGTGTTATAATAATGCTTGTTAACAAAGTTCAAATAGCCCATCACAGGTTGTCTCACTTATTTACGTTAATTTTTCTTATTAATACTACTTTAGTGTTTAGTGCTCCTGTGCTTGGAGTGTACACTATTGTTTTTCTGAAACTATTTTCGTATGCTGCTGTTAATCGGTGGTGTCGCGAATCAGATGAAGACGGGGATTGCAATGTAGATGTGGTTTTGGGTGTATTGGGAAAGTCGACACCGAAATCAGCTCCCACTCATAATGCCCATATCAGCAAACCTGAGAATTTGAATCCAAAACCTATTAACAATAATGTTAATTCTCATCAATTCGATGATTATTCTGAGACGATTAATAAATACAATTCAGTCAATGAATCTTCGGAAGAAAATCATGTATTCAAGCGAAAATGTTCTCTAGTGTTAGAGCATCCAGATATTAACTTTCAAGAAAATGGAGTGAATACTAACGCAGAGAGCAAAACCAATGACTTGCGATTAGAAAATGAAAACAACTCTGAAGTCACACATGAAGCTACCCGAAATAGAAGAAATAAAATTCCAAATTTTTCTCCGAATTCGATGACTTCGGAAAATAATGCAAAATCAACAAAGCATCTTAGCCAATTACATATGAAACATAAAAGTCAATTTAGAAAATGTAAGATATTTCATGGGTTTGTTATAATTACTTCATTTTATTTTTGTGACTTTGACATGTGAATTATAATTTTATCCTATCTTTTCCCTATTGTATGCTGTTGGGTAAAACCTGTAATCAGTAACATGTGATATATTAACAAATGGCGTTGGTGCTATGAAAGCCCATATGTTATTCAGATAAAAATCCTAAAAATTTCCGTTTTCTGTCAACACAATATTTATTATCAGAAGGGCTTTTGTGGAGATTTTAGTAATTTCAACTATTGACCGTATTTGTTATTAGATAAATAATATGCCTATGTGACACTAGAAGTAAAAACGTTACTCAATTACCCTAGTTGATCACCATCCTGGTTAAATACATTTTAATTGTATGTCTCTGAGTGGCTTAGAGACTTTACAGCTAGACTTAGCAAACTGTTTTCTTAATTTCTACGAGGTTACACTCTGTTTTCTGTTCAGCGATTCAAAAGCTATTACACAGTTTATGTTCCTAGTTCGATGACTCATTTCATTCCTGTTTTCATTCCACCTTATTTAGTCAGGACACGATGACTTACACGGATGACTGAGAAGTTATTTACTAACGCGTTTCACAAAGAATTTACCCTTTCATTATGTAGAATATTTAATTTCGGTGATGGTGCTTACCTCAAGGATCCATAGGGAACGCCTTATAGGTGGCAGAACCCAAACAATAAAATGGTTCAAATAGGTTTTCGCTGGAAGTAATATTGTCTAGCAGTTACATGAAAAATGATTATCTTTCAGTCTGTTTGATGTAAGTCGTTTGAATAAAAAGACATATTATTAGCATTTCAACAGATTAAAAATACCTGAGTTTAGCTGACTGTAGAATTTCAGTGGGACTCTCTTATAAACAAAACGACAAACTGTTTTATTACTTATCATAAATTAAGTATATTTCCGTGTTTTGTTATCACAAAATCTTTAGTCGTTTTAAGTTACCAAACTGTCCATTTAGCTACTTTCACTGTTTAAACCATTTCGTTACAGAAAATATTAACTTACGTTACGTGTAAAATTGGTGTGTATTTCTGTTTCCAATGGGATTAGTCTGAGCTATTGTTAGAAAAGTCTTTCTGATGTAATATTTCTTAAGTAACAAGACAAGAAATGAACATGCTTTTAATTTTTCTACTTTGATGACAACACATGTGATTTGCTTCGACTATATTCGGTAATATATCCATCAGATTACAAAAAGATTTAAGAAAATTATACATTCATGCTGTTCATCCTTTATTAGTGCTTAATCAAACATTACAAAAGAAGAATGTTTAACTTCTGACTGGAGAATATATTTTGAACAGGCTCATAATATATGTCATTTTTAACAGATTACAAAAAGGTGATATTTCTATAAGCCATTCGCTATACGGTTCATAACTGACATTTTAACTCATACTACTAAATTGAAGTTGAACCAGCAATAAATACAGAAATAATTTGGTTATGTTGAACTGATGCTTCTATGAGTCAAAGCCATGGACTCCTCTTCCTAAGATGAGAATAAACACTGGTCATCACATTAAAGGAACCAATGGTGAAGTTAGTACACCATCTATTCATTCATAAATACAGATGAGAAAGTCACACTGTAACGTACTGTATTATATAAGAGCCTTTCAGCCCAACACTATGCAATAACTGGGTTTAATTTAGTGTTTTTTTTAATAAGCTATAATATCAAAAACCAAAGAAAACCACTTAATCAATTACCATTATGAATCCACACTTCTTCGGACTCTTTTCCACCTCATTTCACGGTGACTCACAAAGTATTGCTATCTTAAGTTAGAATTATGACTAAAAAGATAGAACTTAACATTTCTTACAGTCCTGATGACATAAAACTGCTCCCTCTCAAGGGGTGTTTGGTCATTTAATTTTTTTTAAAAATAAAAATATGAAGTTGTAACTATGACTGCAAAAGACAAAATCTACTTTTTCAAATCTTTTTGAATACGTATGTTTGAAAACTTTAATTTTGGTTGATTTGTGGATGAATCAGAAATTTCATTTGCATCGAAGAGTTGACAAATCCAAAGTGACCAGCGAAAATGCAAATATATGTGGGCAAAATATTTTTAAGACAAAGTATAAATGTGTTGGTCCCCTGTCTTGTAATTAAGTATAATGACCTGTGACGTTCTCAGGTAGCGAAATTCTGTTGTTAACTAAAACTACTTAAAAACCTGATTCACTAAATTTCTAGTAGGTTATGACAAGCATTGATAACAGTTTTCAGCCAAGTAAAGCAAACCTTGAAATTTTTTTACATCTACTGACTAACGTTAAAAATGACTACTAGCTCGTGTATACATAACATCAAGACTTCGTTAGATTCCACTGCACTTATCTACACTGATAAAATGGCAGTTGCTACAGTCAGGAATTTACCAAATAGTTGAAATATTTCAGCACAACCAATTTTATATTTGCTAGCTATGAGGATAATGTACCTAGCACAGTTTTTACATTAAGCCTCTAATCAGTACAAAATCATAAAAGTTTTAATCGTTTCCGAAAAGGTATTTATCTTCCAAATTTATTCATTCTTCGATTTCCATATTTTCTAACGATTTCTTTTAATCTCAAATAAAAATGAGGCGCTCTGCCCTTAAAAACTACTTCATTATGCATTATCGTACATCTCAAAAGGTAACTGTTTTCCGCAACCGTGGTTATACCTTTTCTAAATATAATACTTCACCCATCTTTTAGTGGGACTGGGTTTTACTAAAATTCATAATAATAATACTAATTTAACTTTAGTAAATAGAGCAGAGTACATTTCTGTCAGTGTTATAAATCATACCAAACTCAAAATAACATTGGTTCAAGAATGCTACTCTTTGTTCACAAGGTCAGATTATAAATAAGTAAGAAAATAAAAATTGGAGACGAATTTAAAGGAACATCAAAAACAAAATTAGGGTAAACAAATAATCAATATGAGATGTATCATCCGTTCTTGCATTTCTGACCTTCCAACTAACTTCTAGTCAAGAAATCTGTATTTCAACTACACCCACATGATAACCTTGAACAATTTATGTACGACCTCACCCATAGTTCTGTTTCCTCATTGGTGCTGCTTAAAGCTGTTGACTCTGAATGAAAATATGAGAAATTCTGATGATTGATTGTTTATGATGTATACGATTATTTTTCTGAACATCAAGCTCTGATTGTGAAAAATAATCATTAGCATCTCCAACAGTTTTTCACCACCCAGATAAGTTCACAAGGTACGAAAGAGTAAAATTCAGAAATATCTGTATTCACTTACAGAATCTTGAGGTCAAACTATCCAGTCTGACATAAATCAACATCATTACCATCACTGGTTTAACTCAAAGCACCATAAACTAACAGACAATTACAAACGAAGTAAATCAATAGTCCCTATTATTAGTTTAAGGTCACCATATGAATGTAGGCTAACCAACTGGTTTTGTCCTTCATTGTCCTATGGAAGACTATTGGATGAAATTATTGATCAGTATATATGTAACTTGGCTTTTTGTATTCAGGCATATAAAAAAATGAAATCGAATCAAATTACCAGAAATGTAATTATGAACATTCAGTAGGCCCCTTATTGGGTAAAGAAATTCGTTGCATAAAAATAGATAATTCAATTTGTAAATGATTATGTATGTTTACACGTCAGAACAAAAAAGAAATATGTGAAGGAAATCTCAAAGTGGTCTTTAGAATTTCTGTTGATCTTTTGTACACGATTATTTAGCGCGTATGTTTTGTAGGGAATAATATTGATAGTGCAATTGTACAGTTAATAAAATTCAACATTTGTATGACACGTTGTACTCAGACAATAAAGTCTAATGCCTCAAACTACAAGACTCAAAGAATTTTGATCTGTTATCATATGTGACGGTCAGCAAATAGCCTGAGTCCATAATTCAGTTTTTTTAATTGACTTAGTTATTTAAAATTTTTTAATGTAGTCTAGTGCAATGCTATTAATTCAGATTCAATATTAAAGTATTGAAGTTTTAAGAATGCACAGATCTGTACATTCTAAATCAGTAAGAACCGTCGTGTTTCATCATAATTGAATTTTATTTTATCAACTTCAAAGTCCATGTTAATATTTCTTACAAATAAATCATCAAGCTGAGGAATTATTGAGATTTTCATCGAATATCACCACGTTTTTAGTGAGAGAGTGCCGTGACCTGACGCAATATACTACATAGCCGCATAATTGGTGGGGAAGAAATACAATAATAAGCAAATGCATATAGTGTAAATGGTTTGATTATCTCATCTACATTTGTCCAATTACATTTTGATGCTATAGATTTTGAATAGTCAAAATCTTCAAACAGTATTTTTTTAATCATATTGATCTCGTTTATTAAACACGAAGACCAGTATAGATGGCAGTATTCTGTGAAATATTTCATCTTGGAAACTTATGATTTTATTTATTTGATGCATATAAACTTATCAGATAGTTCATCCGTTATGGTTAGGAATTATTTTTTCGTAAACCTACAGCATTTTATGAAACACTTAGGCTGTATGAAAACTGATATTTAACCTGCTTCTTAAGTTGACTAAATATTTTGATACCAGATATTATTTGACAGTTGAGGGCAATTTTTTGCATGGAACAATTTTGAATTTTATCAAAGTCCTGTTGATTATTAACTTGAAATTATTTGAATAAAATTACGGGCATGGACAAATTACCGTGCTCTAATTCGCAAATGAAAAACAAGCTTTTATTTCCGTTTAACAGCAAGTTTAGATGTTATAAATCCCACTACTTTAATACCATACTATATTTTTAAGTAGTAAGAAGCACTTATATCCAAAATCTTTAACACGTTTGCTTTTTTTCTCCCAGCTCAACATTCAAGGCTTAGTGTATGTGAAAGCAAGGATTACAATAGCATTAGCTCAGACCCAGTTGAATTAGAAGTAAATGTATTGGTACACGATGAAACTTGCATGAAATTTAGTCGTAATTTATACGTTACTTATCCAAATAACTTAACACTATGGGACATATACTATTTCATCCTTTCACCAACATTGTGCTACGAATTAAACTTCCCGCGCACAATGACAATAAGGAAACAGTTTCTGTTCAAACGTGTCTTCGAATTGGTAAGTTAATATGATGAAGGAGTATATTCACAAATATGCTATTTTGTTGGCTTGACTTTCACTTCTACAGTCAACAGAAAGATCAAAACACTTTCATTTTGAATTCTTTCAGATAAAGATTATGTTGACATAAATCTTGTTTCATCGTTTCTGGAACTCGTAATCATTGAAAGTGTTCAGATTTGCGTTGTTCTATTTCTTATTATATGTAATTTAACAACAGGTCACCATATTCCAAGACTTTACTGATAACCCATTCAGTTTGTGGTTATTCGTACAAGAAACTTTACAATAACAGATTTTTCGCCACAAAGGTAAATTTTAGGCTACTGAATTGATTAGTATGTAATGTTCGATTATTTGTTTCAGAAAAAAATATACACTGTGCTATCTGTGTCAAATATTGAATAGATTAATTTAAACATAATTGTTACTGGCTTTTATGATCTAAAATTTTGAATTCCACGTCAAAAATAGTTGTCATCGAGAAGCACTTTGAATTCAGGTAGAATTATCACTAAATCAGACAATTATAAAGCAACAACATTGAGTAAAAACATATTATCATTAGTCTAATGTTAGGTGGTTGTCAATAGGGAACTTTGGATATAGTTTTCGTGCTAGTTGGCACTCTTCAGCTATGCTTACCTGCACTCTTGAGGAGACTTATGTTTCCAATGAGACGCCATCCCGTGACACCCAGATTCATAGTTTGAGACGCTGCCACTTGGACATTCACGAAGCAACCGACCTCCCATAAGAATGAAATATTAACATTGATTGATTAGTGAGTATGAATCCATATCACGAGTGTGGGTTATTTCAAAAGTAGCAATCATAAATATAGTTATCTTGATCAGCTACTGTGAGGAATTCCTGAATGATTCAGTACATAATTATGAATACTTAACCAACCGAAGTTTAGCAAGCGTCTAATGTCATTAGTCGGAGTTGAAAACAAAATAGAAATACAAGCAGAATCAGAAAAAATGTTACAACTTGTTCAGAGTAAAAAAAATGAATATTTGAGAAAAAAAGTAACTAACAAGTATGTTACATTCACATATATACGAAAAACCTGAGTTAAAATGTTCACAGGGAGTTTCACTGGTTCATTCAACTATTGAATTCTTTGAACCTAAGATTGATAGAATGCAGATAGGTAAGTGGACTTGCAAACCTCGTCTTTACATAAAGTTTCAACTGCATTATTTTGAGAACCATGTGTTTAACAGCTATCGGAAGGTAAATCTCCATCAACTACGGTAGATGAGCCTGTATTTCTAGAATTTCTGAAAATACCCCGCGTTTCTATTGTTTTCCAACTGTCCATTGAATGGGACCATACAGAAGTAAAGACAATTCTAAGATTTTCTTTCACAATCCTCATCAAGAGATATTATTTGAATAAGAAAAAAGAGTATTCAGAGAAAGTTTTCTTTTCGACGAAATCATTTACTTAAGCTGTACAGTCGTATATATAGTTATATGGGTTTTTTTACAGAGATTTATATATAAAAAGCTACCTAGAATGGACAGTACACGAAGTTCCATAGTTGGGTTCCATTGAGTAGAAAGAGGAACTTAATTCACTCTTTATCCTCTAGGATAGAACGAATCTGTTCTACTGACACAAGAGATGAGGAACTATTTCAGCTTCGACAGACTCTTATCAGGAATGGTTATCCACCTAGATTCGTCGATAGCAACTTAACACCTAGACTTCATCTTGAAAAGCATCGACAGTACAGAAGAAAACGTTTATGAATATGGGATTTAAAGGAGACACGGCTGCTGAAATCTTAAATAAACGGATCTCAAGATCGTTGGATAAAACATTCTACGCAGCTAAGCTTCATTTTCTCAAACCGACCTACCATTCTTGGATGTGTTAAGGATAAAATCCCGCTTTGGGCCACATCAATGTGTATCTATAAATTTGCTTGCTCATGTAGGGCACGTTACATGGGCCGCACAAAAGTTATCACTTTACAAACGCATCTCAGAACACTATCCGGCTTGGCTTTTAAAAGGTGAATGTGACTGCAGATTAGAGTGAAGCGTTTTGTCGATCGCTTCAGTGACACGGAAAACACGTACGAACGGCCTAGAGTCTCGATTGGTCTCGCTTCCCTGTCTAGCCCAGCCAGTTGAGCCCAGAACGCAAGTCTTAGCCTCTGAGATATGAATCATTATATTTCAGACATACTCTATTTATATACCAATCAACCAGACCACATCGTACCATAAAATAGAAAACAATATTTGTACAATATTTGACAAGTGAAATAAATATTGACCAATAGGAAATGTCCATTTAAAGTCCAAGGACACCATTAGACTTAACATGACAATTATTGGTTTATTTTTTGCACATCCTAACAAAAACAATTACTAGTTCTATACAGGAGCATTTAATCAACTATGGACATATCGCTCCAAAGGATTCCTTTTTTAAAGTGATCTACAGAGTCAAAGGAATTGGATCGAAGGAATGTTGAATCATTATTTTATGCACTGCTGAGGCATTAACAATCCACGAACTCAAGCCCGAACTTTGTGTGCAGAAACGATTCGTCCAACCTCTCATCTTTTCTAGGCCTTAATTCCCTTAATGGGTATGTTTCTGGGTATTTTTTTCTGCACTTTTATCTGACCAATATTGAATTTTTTAAATTATTATTTTGCTATTTTAAACTCTCAGTTCTTCTTCTTATTATTATTATCTTATACAAGTTTTCTTGATTATGACCTTTATGTTTGTCGTTTTTTTCTTCATATCTGTCAATAGGGCTATTATCTGACCCATAAACGATTTTCGTCCTTACCCCTTGATTAGTACGTAACCTCATTTAATAATAAGAGTCTCGAATCCATTTTTGTGATGCAATGTTTTCTATCCTCCTGTAGACATGTATTTTCCATATAACTATATATACGAATGTACAGCTTAAGTAAATGATTTCGTCGAAAAGAAAATTTTCTTTGATGAGTTCTCTTTTTCTCATTCAATGACACTATGGGTTATTTTAATTATCCAGATATTATTTGATGTCAATGTTGTGCATTTTGGATGGCCAACTCCATAGAATAGCTGGAGGAAATGCTCAAGACAAGTTGGTCTAGTTTTAGTTGAGCAATCTAATAATAATGAGTCCGGAACACATGATAGTAAAGCTTTTAAACTATGATTTTTACTCATTAGAATACTTTTTTGACTGTACTTGTAAATAAATGTTTCAGCTTAAATTTCTTTCAATAGATATTCATTCCCCAACTTATACTCTGCTTGATTCAACAATGGATTCTACCTATACTGTCAAACAGTTACGTCCCATTCACAGAATCAAGATTTAGCTTGATTGTTGAACGTTGTTTGAAATTGGCCATACCAAATCATCTCATATGGTTACTGTTTTTCTACCTTGCATTTCATTCCCTATTAAATGTAATTGGAGAGGTTTTATACTTTGGTGATCGATTCTTTTACAGCGATTGGTGGTAAGTTCATGATACTGTATTTCTACAAGTCTATATGATAATACCAGTTTGTTGATTAAGCCACCTGAGATTTAACGTGAATAACCATCACACAGTTCGTTTACGACTCAATTTGAAGAGTGAATTCCTCTAGTTCTGACGAGTAACCGTAACATTTGGCTTCTCAACAGCTCCGAATGGTATAAATCTGCAATTCATAGTATTCTTATAGACACAGTTTTACATCACATACCCAGTAAAGTTGAGTTCAAATTGGCACAAGATATTATAAAACAGTGAGAAAGCACAAAATGCTTGGCGTGGTAGTTAAGATCGATTAGTAGTTATGTTAAAAATAAAGTCATAAGAAAAAAGGGTGATGTCATGAATATGAACTGAGACAAAATGGAAAAATTTTCCAATGGGTGATGATACGTTCAGTCCTCTAAGTTGATATAAAATTAAATTCACGGATAAATATCAGTATTTCGTTTGAAATATGAAATAAAGATTATGTAAAGTAAGTTTCATTATTAGAATTAATTCAGAATAAAAATGAGAGGTTCACCACAGTTTCCTTATATTTGAAAGTTGAAGTTTAAAGAGTTTGATGGTAATGGTCTCCGCAAAGCTGACTAAAAGTAGGATCTACTGTTTGTTAATTACGTTTAATGTCTTGAAGATATCCGCATTTCATTCAATATCCATTGCGTATTTAGTAATAGAACTTGTGAACACTTTGAAACACAGGTAGCAAAAATCTCTACAAAATAACCCATCAATGTTACTTCGTTTTGAGTAGTTTGTGTAGCACCAGCTTGTAATGAAAGCTTATTTTGGGCACATCTGAGATTTTACCCACTTATCTCTTTTCACTAATTTCAAACTATCAAGAAGAACAATTTTCTCTAAACCAACATTTTTTTAGTTAATGTATAGTATTTACTCAGTTGTCTCGCAAGAATTTCAATATCAGGTGACTTTTTACTCAGAAACGTAGTTTCAATGTAAAATGGATAAACCAGTTTTAAAAAATGACACAACGGACAAGTAGCATACTTCAAAGCTGTAAAATAATAGGCTTCTGAAATTTATATGGTATAAATGGTTTCTGTAATTCTTCGAGATCGAGTAAATTTTATATATCTACCTATAATGCAGGGGGATTTTGTTAATGATTATCTAAAGTGTAATAAAATACAAACGTTTTTCACCGTAAAATTACGTTAATAAATTCGGAATCGAAGTGGAGATATTCAGTTTGGTAATTTCCTTTCCAACACATTTCTCACCTTTTGCCTCCATAACTAAAACAAACATAGCAGCTGCACAGTGGAAAAGACATTCATTCTATGATTATGTAAAACTGTCGAATTAAGCAATCATTCTTGTCCTCGAATTAGTATTTTGTTAACAATTTTCTAGACAGAAAGCAGTGAATTCGAATTAAAATCACGTTGTAACCAAATATACTGTTCAAATATATGCTTGATCTACCACCTTTGTCACAAAATCTCTTTATACCTTTTTTCTTTGCATATGCATAATCTTTCCTACTACTACAAATGTTATTACTACTCTTAGTAATCTGGAATTTGTCTCGATAATTTTATCTCTCTGTGCTAATAAGACATGACAACTTGAGCTGACGTACTTATGTATCAGATTCTACGTTGCACATGACTATAACTGTGTAAGAGGAAGCCATAAGGCAGAATTTGATAGTAGAGATAGAGGAAAAGTATTAAAAAGAGATGAAGTTAATTTAATACAGACGAGGTGTTTTTGAATGCTGCTAGAGTTATGTGAACAGTTGATATTTCCCAGTTACCTACATTGAGGAAAGATAGTTTTTCTTGAGGTATCTGAAAAGAATATTGGATAGGTAGTGATTTTGCCAACCTGGAAGGGTGACCGTTGACCCCAAGTGACAAATGTTCAAAGCCGATCAAACTGCTTTTTTCTGAGTAGTTGTTAGTGTGTTGGTTTGGCACTCCATATTTTTATTTACTCCCAACAAACACAAAAAATATATCAGAAGGGAGCTTTTTGTGGATATTATGGTAATTCCAATAGTTGAGATCATGGGTCACTTAGAGCTAGACCACTATGGAGAACCTGGAGGCACTGGACGGCCGTTTCGTCCTATTGTGGGACTCCTCAGTAGTGCGCATCCACGATCTCGCCTCGCGAGATACGGACCCAGGACCTATCGGTCTCGCGCGCGAACGCTTCCTTCTCCTTCAGCTTTCTCAGCTGTCGTTGCTAGCCCTCCCTTGTTTATCAGCTCTAGTACTCCTCATCGCTTGCTTGTTTGCTCGTGCCTTGAATTTCTCTGTTCTTGTTCAACTGATGTTAATTGCTGTCCAGTGAGGATGAACTAACAACTTAGAACTTATCAGTATTATTCATATGCATCACAGAATATCATTAATAATGTTTGATCGAAGTTATATTTCTATTTAAACTTTATAGTGTTTGTTCCTTTTTTCTTATGTTTGGTCTCATAAAATATTATTTTTGCGTTTATGCAGGAATGCGGAATCTGTGCCAGCGTTTTGGTCAAAATGGAATATTCCTGTCCATCGTTTTGCTAGACGGTAAGTTATATCAGTAACTTTCATAATTAACTACAAATTATTGAAGCAGTTGTTATTGTAATGAGTACTGATCTTATTGTTTTGGAAAACGTAGAATAATATAGTAATTAGAACAATTTGATGGTTTATACATATGTAATATTTATTCAGCTATGTAATTTTGGTAATTTTATCGACTACTCAAATGGTAGATCAGATTTAGACGGATCACACAGTCGCTATCAACGATTTTTCGATGCACTCCATTTTGTTCCATGTAACAGTTTAAAGTACTGCAGAGCAACAGAGAATCGACAAAATGCACACACAAGAATGTAAATGCTTGTGTAAGATAAAATCCACTCACTAATCCTTAACTATAGCTCTATTGTTCTTATCTCGTTCAACACCAAACACTTTCGTTTGTCAAACTCACTAACTAGTTACAGGTATGTTTTTTGTTGTGACTCACAAGTTTATGTAATAACTAATGATAGCATCAATATACTCAAACTAAAGTAGGTTGAGCGTGGCCTAAAACTACAACCCAATGCTTGAAATGTTAGTGCTTTGACAATTAATCTACTGCTTTGAATGCTTCAACTAAAAATGTGTGCTCAGAAATTTAAGACATTCCAGCCTTTATCAAAAATAATAATTTGTGTTGTATGCAAGTTATCTGTATAGTCATAATGCAAAACATAATAGCACCGAGTAACACTTGTTTTTATCGAGCCAATACAACTCAGGTGATATTCAAATGGAAATCGAATAATAGTAAGGTCAACCAGTAATCAGTACATAAACAGATCAAAATTTAATTCATCAATAATTAAGAGAAAGATCATATTCATGCGATATTGAGTCATTTATCACCATAATAATTAATAGCGCTTCTATTCATAATGATAACATCAATCATGAGAAGTCATTATTATTCAAGAGTATGAAGGCAGAGTGACCTGTTATTTATGGAGATATGAAAATTCATCTGTTAAGTTTATTCTAGTTTCTTTCTTATGTAAAAAACTTCTCTTTGAAACTGAAAAAGTCATGTTTGTGAGGTGCACTATTGTTGGTAAGTCGTAAAACTCGATGCCAGGTTAAGCCATTTAAGTGACATTAATTTTTTCCATGCTTATAAATAGGTTGTTTGTTCAGTGTGAAATTAGACTCGAAACCATTATTCATTACTAGGTTCGTGTACATCCTTGTTAACTTTAAGAACGAATGGTATGATTCGCGTGACCTTAATTTTTAACACATACACATACTTCAGTCAAAGTGATCTGCTAAAATTTTTATCCACATGTCGAACAGTGCCTGAATTCTATAATTATTTACTAGTAATGGTTTTGTTTCGTTAAGCGACTTTCCACTCATCCATTACTTATTGGCCAAAATGAGTCCAACGATTGCAGCTGAGCACAGTTCATGGGCTGGTCATGGTATCCATTATAACAGTGATGTCAGTCATTGGTTATAATCTCTAGTGATGTTACCTCAAATGTAACTGAAAATAAGACTTTAGAGAATAATCCTTAAACTTATCAGCATTATGTATTTCCGGTGTAACAGTATGTTGATTCGAAAGCATGTTTAATTCCTGAGTAACTTACACAGAACATTGTACAGTGAAGGGACTACTAGTTCACATTACGTTCATCAGAAGCTGTTCCATCTTATCTTTGCAATTTTAGTTTAGGATATGTTATTTTAAACGAGAATGATATTTCGATGTAAATATTTATTTAATATCTAGATGACTATTTTAATTCTACTTTACTGAATGTTTAGTTTCTTTCACCATAACACATTAAAATTTGAAGTACATAGTTAAAAATTACCCATCAAAACCAGATCTCAGTTAAAATAAACCTGTCTATGTAGTGTGACTTTATCCGTAAGTAGTTTGAAGTTCGCTTCAGAGTATTTTATACTTAACTTTTATGGTGTAACACTTCTTCTCTTTTAAAAATTTAGGCATATATACATACCCCTTTTACGGTCAGGGTTCAGCCGCTTCCAAGCTGGTTTAGTTGTTTTCATGATTAGTGCATTTTTTCATGAAATACTTGTTTCGATCCCATTGAAAATGCTACGATTCTGGGCCTTCTTTGGTATGCTTAGTCAAGTACCATATGCCTACATAGTTTCACGCTTATTCCCTAATGGTGGTCAAGGTGGTAACTTAGCTGTGTGGCTTACGTTAATAATTGGTCAACCATTAGCTATTCTCGCTTATTTCCATGACTATTTTATAATACATTATAATGTTGGTGGAATATAAACAGCTATAGTCAATAAGTGAGTAAACGAGATTTTTTATTGTTTGGTTTTTCGTGATATCATTTCCTTACTCGTTGCACAGTGAAGATTTATCGATTTAATTAGATATTTACACTTACCTAATATTTTCTTTCTTTATCAACATTGTTTTTCTGATTATTAATTAATGAGATAGTCATTTTTAATGTTGAGTAGTTTGTCGATTGATAACTGTTAACTTCATAAAAGTGATTGCCTGGATATTCATTATCCTCTCTATGCAATTCGGCTTTCTTGCCTAACTTTTTTTTGCTTATCATTTCTTCTGATCCTCGCTGTTTTCTTTATTCTTCTTTACAAGTATTACTAAAGCAACGAAGAAGTCTTGTTATTAATCTAATTTTTTCCTCTATTCTCATCATTGTAATTTGATTTCCATTTCAACTGAATTCTTACTTTTGATGTAATTACGATCATATTGTCGGTCCAGTGTGTTTAATTGATTCGCCACCTGTATAATTGTTAACTATTCATAAATATGTGCAAGATTTTGTTAGACATAATATCCAGTTTCATTCTTAACACATTAAAGTTTGTGAACAAAAAGTTCATATTTGTAGGTTGAATTCATGGCATCAATGCCTTCAGATACGAAAGATAAAGAAGCAAAAACGTTTTTCATTCCATTTGGAACTATCTGAAATGCTTGTAAGAACTTTCGTCTTAATTCGAACGGACAGTTTCAGAGTAATTGGGTCCCTAGTTAATGTGAGGCATTAAAAAGAAAATCATATAAGAATTCTCATTGATTAAAGTTAAAATAAATCCAAATGTTTCGCTCGACATTCTAGTTCAAGCTTTTTCAAGGGGAATAATCAAACATCAAAATTATCGAACATTAATATATGATTCTTGAATTAACTGTGTACTAAATAAATCCTCCAGTCATGTTAACAATTCTGAATGGGGAATTTGTTGTAGTGCTGGTATGAGTCATTTAGTGTGTGAAGGGAAATCTTGATAAGATAAGAAGTGTAGTTGTATGTAAACATGATGAGAAAGAATTAATTGGGTATATATTGCATCAGGGTGTGAATTTATTTATCCGTCTTTTATTCTTGGATAAAAGTATGATATCAGGGATTTTCGGACATTTTTCGTCCTTTTGGTGAGATTATTGATGTATGTAACATCATAATTTTCACTGGGGATTTTTTGTTCATCGTTTAAAGCTAATTGCATGTGCCCTCCTATGAACTCGTCTCTGTAGCGCATCCAAGCTTGACGATGAATGAAGCAAGAAAACTGAGAGTTCGAGCTTGAAATGAGATTTTTAGCGCAATTCTCCTCTTATTTGTGGCACTCGACCACTAACTTCCTTGGAAGATCTCTGAAAATGCTTAATACCACACACATATTGAGAATTTTAAAAAATCCATGCCCTACAAATTCACAGACAGGTATTCTCTCTCGACTTCAAGTGACAGTTGTTGATAAAACTGGGCAATCCGACAGATATTATAGTGAATAGACTTTATCATAGCAAATATAGAATGAAAATAAACAAACAAATAATTATAAATCGCTGTCCTAAACTAGCTAGTTGTTCATCGCATCTCCAAAAAATTAACTGAATACAACAAATTAGAAGTAGTAATGTGAAATACAAATTGAATAAATATTACCTGCTATGGCACAACTAATTTTATGCCATCCCTAATTCATATTGTTTGGGTTCACCCACATATGTAGGACTTCAACTGTCAATCTTTCATTTTACGAACTAAAACCGTTTTGAAAGATTCCTATTCCGTTGAAGTCAACTGTATGTTCAGATTGTATTGAATGTATCGCCGACTTGTTTTATAGTTATTTTGAAGTCTTCTGATGAGTTGGGAATATGCTTCAAGTAAATCTTGCTCTTTGTTCGTCGAGAGTAAAATTGTGTCAATGTTATTGTAAAGTTTAATAACGTTCTATTTTCAGTTCTTACCATTTGTTCAAATTTTGAAGCTAATTAAAACTTAACAATTCGCTCACTTCTATTTTGACATGTTTTGCATACTCTAATTTACAAATACATCCTAATTAGTTACATTGTTTTATGTATAATATTGATGAACACCTCAGTAGTAGTTAAATATATGCCATAAAATCTGTTCATACATATCGAACATTCAAATTAATGCATTCTACATTCGACCTTTCATAAAACCAAATATTCGTTCCTAATATTTCACAAGTACGGAAACTGATTCTCTTGTTATTTATTTTTGCAGAAAATGAATAAATCTATTGAGAAGTGGAATTTACTCTACTATCTAATAACCTTTAAAACTAAGTTATTATTTCATACACTAAATGCTTTATAGGTAACATTACCAAGGTTTGACTTGATAATTTCGAATAAATTGAGCATTGGTTGGATTGTTGTAAATAAATTAATATATTTGTAATATCCCAATGAGTAGAAAAATTAGATTTTCTGACATTTCGTGACTCAGTATAAGCCAATTCGTTGTGAGTAATCACAGTTTATGGGTACGTAAGTCATCTATGAAGAGAATTTCTGTAAACTTTTAGTGAAATAAAACATTTGTCTACAGAAATTTCAGGTGAAGACTATGGAAACCAAAGCGAATTATTATAATATAGAATATACATATCGCTATGCTAAAACCAACTTGTTATTATTCATTGCGAAAATTAGGTTGAAACGAATATATCTAGCCTTGCTAGTCGTCCATTACAAGCAAACAGTTATCACAGAACGTATAGCTAGTTATTGTAGAGGAGCCTAACATGCTATTTCAAACTATTTACACAACTCCTGGCTGTATACACGACAAACAATTTGACTCCCCACTGAGTATTTTGCTTTTTCAGCTAAGATTATTGCCGATATTGATGTTACGAAAAGGGCATTTTTGACCGTTAAATGGTCATTGTTTTGGATAACTTTGCCTCGCACCTCAAAATGAACAAGAAAATGGTAATTAGCTTCAAAATTACTGATTTTTATTGATGAATGATAGTTTTTCACTGAGAAAATAAGTGTAAGAGAAATAATTTCAGTGAAATATTTTCGCGAAAATGAATAGGTTTCAGAGTCCGTTTTCTATATTAATTGTACGTTTTATGGAGTATACTGTATAGACCCTACTTTTCATTTGAGTGCGATTAAGTCAAATAGGTTTTAATGACAATTTTATTAGGGTCAACGAAATTTTCATAACATCTTAGATTTCGACCGGTTTATTGATTACCTTTATTCTCTAACATTATTTGATTTTCATATTAGTTATCGACCACTTCTCTAACAGAAAGGTCACAGTAAGCACTTTTGGCAGAGTATATGCATAAAATTAAGCGGGAAGTATCGATTAAGATAAATAAATTTGAGGATATAATTTCGCAAAACTGTTCTTCTAACGATTTCTTCACTAAAGCTGTACGAACAGAAGTTTATAAATAAAACAAATAATTATTATCAAAAGTATAATTTTGTGGTTGATAAGATCTAGAAATGAATTTCTTTGCTAAACAATTCTCTCTTGTTTTAGATAAAAATTAATCAACTTTTCGCATTGTTTCATTACTCTAATTCTGGCATTATTTTTAACTGTGTTGCACAACCAATGTACACATACAAACGATCTTTCATGGTGTATATTTCCATTTTTCGGAATCTCACGATTAATACATTTTTAAGAGACCAGCTTCACGGAATATGAGTGACAGTGAAACGAAGCTACTAATCTATTGCGTTTTGTTAAGTCATTAGCACCCATTAGACAATACCTAAAAATAGTCGAACTACCAGTTTGTGCAAAACAGTAAATTTAAGTAAAATAAAAGCTGTTGGGCTTAAGATGTCATAACGGACTATATGAAAGCAAGTAGCATAGTTAACTGTAGAGCAGCATAGTTAAATAGCCGCTTATCTGCAGATAGTTAAGAATAGCTATTGAATTATTAAGTCCAAGTTCTGTGTGTACCTATACATTACTGACCTTTTAGTTTTTCAGTAATTCTGACAGTTACCAGCAATACTGTACATTATTATATTATTGCTCTAACCAGATGATTACACCACGCTCCAGCAATTCTGATAATAGCACAAAAACTAAGCATACTTGAAGTAAACAAGCAAGAAAGCATGTTGACTTCTAAAAAGAAGATTTGGTATGTATTATAGTTCAATCTCTTATAAGCAATACTACAATAAGTGAATATGCAGGACCTTATATTGATTATGTTATCAAGTCTAGGTTTTTTAATAAATCGGTTTCATTTAATGGTTATAATGACAGTGAAATGCTCTCATAATCATTATTAAAAAGTTAGTACTTATTTTCGTCCATCTAATACGCTTTTTATTTTTAATTCAGTTTCAAATAGTCATGCAGGTAAAGTAATTGAGGATGATGAGACAATAATAACTCAGATATTTCGTTACATATGTTCGGAAAGATCGTGAATTCGGTAAAATTATGGTGCAGAAATAAGCCAACTATAACTGAGAATTAGGCTTTTGCGCTCAGTTCAAACATCATGTACAATGATCAGTGAAAATACCTTTGTATACTGCTCAGAATGTTTAAAATAACTAGAAAAATGATTTTTGTCACCATTTAATATCCAATATTTTCGTCAAGAGCTGGTATAAACCGACTGATTTCTTTCCGCTTGCTTCTTCTTGTTTTGTTAAGGCTCCAGATATTTGGTAGTAAAGATGATGACAATAATAGTAATAATGATAATTCATCCTCAAAACATATAGGTGACGTGAGGCATGCTAATCTACAGGCAAGATCAAATGTCCAGTAGATCAAAAACGATAGTGTTGAACTCATTAAATGCTTAATTCTGTATCCGGAAAATGCATATAATAAGTAAATCGACACTACACAAAACCTAACCCTAAACTCAACCCTGAAACAAACATGTGGTGTATGTTAGCATTAAACACAAACCAAATATAATGTCGATTGCAACCAAGTAATCAGTCAGTGTAGAAAC